TAGGCAATTTGGAAATAGAGACAGTTCCAGGGACTGCAGAGGAGGCCATGGAGATGCTGCAAGGGCTGGAGCATCTCTGCTCTGGAGACAAGCTGAGAGAGCTGGGCTTGTTCAGCCTGGAGAAGAGAAGGCTTTGAGAAGACCTTACAGCAGCTTCAAGTGCCTAAAGACACTACAAAAAAACTGATGAGGGGTTTTGGACAAGGCCCTGCAAGACAAAGGGGAATGGCTTTGATCTGATAGAGGTATATATTAGGATTAGAATGCTTCTGTTGTTCAGGTACTAATTATACCTATTGACCATCTATTGCTGGTCAATTGCTGAGGTGAGTAGCTCGAGAGAGGATGCCTTCAACACCGGAGCGGGGCGGAGATCAGCGTCCAGGAGCCTCAACTCAGAGCGACAAGAGCCACAGAGGGAGCCTCAAGTCCTCCACAGGACCTCCCTGGGAGCCGGCAGCTCAGCTGACGAGAGCGAGCAGCTGACTCACACGGGGCGGAGCCAGGAGGAATGGCAGCAGATTTAAACCGGGCATCACCAACCATTGCTGGTCAATTGCTGAGGTGAGTAGCTCGAGAGAGGATGCCTTCAACACCGGAGCGAGGGTGGAGATCAGCATTCAGGAGCCTCAACTCAGAGCGACAAGAGCCACCGAGGGAGCCTCAAGTCCTCCACAGGACCTGCCCAGGAGCCAGCAGCTCAGCTGACGAGAGCGAGCAGCTGACTCACACGGGGCGGAGCCTGAAGCAGCGGCACCAGCCCTGACTAGTTAAAAACCTGCCCCAGGGAGCGTGGCGAACAGAGCGGGTCGAGGCAGTTTGCACGGGCAGGCGAGCGGGATGGTGAGCACTTGTCGTATGATCAGGGCCTGGTCTGGGAGTTCTGATCTGGCTGCCCCGGCGATGGCCAGCTTAGGCATCCAGACAGAGCAGACGAGAGGGGAGGCTGCAGTGCAGAGCTCAGAGTGTAGAGAGTGCCTGCACTGGTCTTGTGAGGGGAGGGTGCACAATGGGCAGGGCTGCACTCGGTGCTCCCTGGTGGAGGTCCTCCTGCAGCAGGTGGCTGAGCTGCAGTTAATAGTCTGTGAGATGTCAGGGAAGCTGAGAGGAAGTGGGAATGCTTGCTCCCAGCCCAAACTGTCCAGGGGCCTCAAGCTTCACCTCTACCTCATGAAGGAAAGAAGGAGGCCGTAAACCTGGGAAGCTGGGAATTAGTGACAAAAAAAAAAAAAAACAGAAAAAAGAAGGAAAAGGACAACCAAAAGCAAGGGGCTTCCCCCTAAATCCCCTGTCCCCACGCAGAACCACTTTGCTGTCCTGCAGGGGGCTAATGAGGACGCGCACTCTAGCCAGAAACAGCCGGCTGATGCCCTGCTAAAGAAGATCTCTACTGGTGCCGCTAGGAAAAAGCGGCGGGTCGTAGTAGTAGTGGACTCTACACTGAAAGGGACAGAAGCACTTGTCTGCTGTCCAGACCCTGTCTCAAGGGAGGTGTGTTGTCTACCGGGGGCATGGATCAGGGATTTGGCAGAGAGGCTGCCTGCTCTAGTAAGTCCCACGGACTATTACCCACTCCTGGTGATACATGTGGGTGCTAGGTGTATAGATAGTAGTAGCCTGGGGAACATAAAGAAGGACTACAGAGCCCTGGGAGAGGTGGTTAGGGGCTCTGGAGCTCAGGTGGTCTTTTCATCAATTCTCCAGGGTACAGGGGAGGACCTAAAAAAGGCTAGGAGGATTAGCCAGGTTAATAACTGGTTAAAAGGGTGGTGTCATAGTCAGGGGTTTGGATGGCTTGAACACGGGACCCAAGCTTGTAGGCCAGGTCTAATGGGGGCTGGTGGAGCTGGTCTGATAAAAGAAGGGAAAGAGCAGTTTTGGTAGGAGGCTTGCCAGACTGGTCAAGGAGGCTTTCAACTAGATGTGTTGGGGGAGGGGGGCATCATTCCATTCCAACACACCCAGTCAGTTGCCAGAACCTATAATAAATGCTGGATAAAGAACTGGCTGGATGGCCGCACACAAAGAGTTATCGTCAGTGGCTTGATGTCCTGCTGGAGACCAGTAACGAGTGGTGTCCCTCAGTGATCGGTATTGGGACCGGTCTTGTTTAACATCTTTGTCACTGACATGGACAGTGGGATTGAGAGCGCCCTTAGCAAGTTTGCCGATGACACCAAGCTGTGTGGTTCAGTTGATACCCTGGAGGGAAGGAATGCCATCCAGAGGGACCTTGACACACTTGCGAGGTGGGCTGATGTCAACCTCATGAAGTTTAACCATGCCAAGTGCAAGATCCTACACCTGGTTCGGAGCAATCCCAGGCACAGCTACAGGTTGGGCAGAGAAGAGATTCAGAGCAGCCCTGTGGAGAAGGCCTTGGGGGTGTTGGTTGATGAGAAAATGAACATGAGCTGGCAGTGTCCCAGAAAGCCAACCGTATCCTGGGCTGCATCAAAAGGAGCATGACCAGCAGGTCGAAGGAGGTGATCCTGCCCCTCTACTCTCCTCTCATGAGACCTCACTTGAAGAATTGTGTACAGTTCTGGTGTCCTCAACATAAAAAGGACATGGAACTGTTGGAACAAGTCCAGAGAAGGGCCACGAGGATGATCAGGGGACTGGAGCACCTCCCGTATGAAGACAGGCTGAGGAAGTTGAGGCTGTTCAGCCTGGAGAAGAGAAGGCTGCATGGAGACCTCATAGCAGCCTTCCAGTATCTGAACGGGGCCTCTAGGGATGCTGGAGAGGGACTCTTCATTAGAGACTGTAGTGACAGGACAAGGGGTAACGGGTTCAAACTTAAACAGGGGAACTTTAGGTCGGTTATAAGAAGGAAATCCTTTCCTGTTAGGGTGGTGCGGCACTGGAATAGGTTGCCCAGGGATGTTGTGAATGCTCCATCCCTGGCAGTGTTCAAGGCCAGGTTGAACGAGGCCTTGGGTGATATAATTTAGCGTAAGGTGTTCCTGCCCACGGCAGGAGGGTTTGAACTAGATGATCTTAAGGTCCTTTCCAACCCTAACGGTTCCATGATTCTATGTTGGTCTCCAGACAGATGTGTTTACAGAATGTAGAGGAAGCTAAAAAAATAGGAAATTCCGTCCTTCCATTCTGCTTGTTAATTCCCAATAGTACCAAATGTTATTTCAAAATGTCAAATGCTCATTTAAATTTTGCTAAATTTCATTTTGAGTAATCAGCATCTATCAAATTGTTCCATGGACTTTTACAAGTCTGGAGACCAGAGTACATCTTACCAGTAATCACAGTTACTACCTTGATTTTTTATGTCTGTGGTTTTATGTTATAAAAAAAATTATCTGCCTTCTCTATACTATCATACTCCATTTATCCTAGTCATCCTTATTCATTTAGTTTTTGAGATACATAGTCTTCAATCTTCTCAAACACTTCTACAAACCTATTAAGGCTTCTGATCATTTTGCCCATATGATTTTGCAATGTCCTTTAGGTCACGGATATTTAACTCAGAAGATACTGAAGAGACATGGTACATGCCATTAGTTACTACTTATAACTAATTTTTAATAGTGGATCTTTGCAACAGTCTGTTAAACTACTGAGACTACAACGCATTTTGATAGTTTTCTCTGATGACAATTGAGCTTATCTCTAGTTCACTTTGGCCATGCTAGCTACAAGACCCAAATATGACATTCTAATAAATCCTCTGTGATTTGTATAGCCAGTGTGATAAATAATTTTTAGCTAGTTGCAGCGGCAAAAATTGGCCTTATGTTTTGATAAGTTGCATTTTCTATTTGACCATCATGAAGAGTGAAATTTAGAAGACTGATACATTGATGTTAGATTTTCAGTACTTTGTAAATTTGAAATAACCAAGTGAAATTGTTACAGTAATTCCAAAGAGAGATATTGCTTCATCTTTATTTCTACAGAGTCAGCAGTATCTTTTTCAGACAGTATTTTGACATGATAGTATTTCAAGACACTTAACTGTTAAGTTCATAGTAAATATTCTCATTTTCAGCTGCTGCTGTGATTTGGAAAGTTGCTTTCTCTTGCCACACCAAGATTCTTGATCTACAGATTCAAAAGCAATGGAGCTGGTCTCCAAAATTCATACATAGAAGTCAACAAAGTGGACACATGTAGAATTTGTTGTATTTAAACTGTGGGGGGAAATGATGAAACATTTTACATGATTATAAACTGATAGATTGTGAAATCTATGCATTGAATACAATGGCTTTTAAAATAGTAAACTGTGGTTGAATTAATGTGATATGCGTGGTTAACTGAAGACCATTATTTAGTGTTTATATTGCAAGCTTAAACATTCCCTCCAATTACTGAATAGAAAGAAAAAAAATGAAAATATATCTATTCTTTTATCTCAAAAGTGTAACAGTGTGTATGTAATTTTTAGAATTTCTCTGGATAAGTTTATATCACTTAAGCCTGGAATTTCAATGCATTCAGGTTTATGGAATACAGAAGAATGCATTAGGAAATCAGTTCTAGCATTCACCTGTATCTTTAGTCAATATAGATTGAGGTGAAAAAAAGATTAAGATCATTATGACTTTAGAATGCATTTTAGATTATTTCTACACAAACGAAAAGGCACAGAATGGAAAAATTGAGATTATGAATTGTGAGAGACTGATCAGAAATCATAGCAGTGAAGCTGCCCTGAGGGGCAGCAATCTTTTAGAGAAAAGTAAGGTTCACCCCTCTCTGCCAGGGGTAGAATGGACCAAGAAAATTTGGCATAATATGCAAAGTGTGACAAACCAAGTAAGCAGCCTGCAAAAGGATGCAAAACTCCATCCGGGAAAGGGTAAATCAATTGTCTCTGTGGTACTAGGCTGTTGCAGTAGAGGCTAGAGAGCAACAACAAACAGCTGAATCTCAGCTCATACAAACTTTACAAGACCTGGTCCATCCTTGCAAGGCCAGGTAAAAAACAGTTTGACAAAGAGAAAAATCAGGCTAACTACTTGCAATTAGCCATGAAAGAGCAACTCCTGGCAGAGAAAAGTGCCTCTCCAGGGTCTGAAAATGAATGCCCCCACAGTGACCTGACAGATGCAAGACTAAGGTTAGACAAATTAAATGTTTCTGCCGTTTCCCTCCAACCCTTGAGCAAAATTGAATATACTTACAAAAATGGAGAGGATGGATTCCTGCAAATTACCACAAAGGACATTCTGTATACTGTTACGGAATTAGCTAAACTTAAAAAGGAATTCTGTTGTACTCCAAAGAGTCAGAAACCGAATATGTTTGGAGAGTATCTCTGTCTGCAAGAGATCAAATTTTACTAAGTGAGAACGAAGCTGAGGGATACTGGCGGCCAGGAGTAGTGACCTGGTCCTTAACTCAAAGAGCAACTTACTGGGCTAGAGGTCTTAACCCTTTGGAAAGGGGAGATCCCCTCATCCTCACAGGGATAGTCAACCAGTTGGTAGAAAGCGTACAGAAAGCAGCATGTCTACAAATGATGTATGATTTGGAACTTAGACTTAAACAGGAGTCCCTGATGATGATACTGGTCGATCCTGAACATATGATTCTCCTCATTCAGGGTCTTCCCAACTCCCTGAAAGCTGTGGGGATTCAACTGCATGGAAAGATACAAACAATATCCCAAAGCAGAAGGGCCATTGCTGCCCTGGAAGGAGTGCTGTCACCTGATCGAAAGACAGAGAAGAAAGCATGGACATGGGCAGAAGTTGCCCAGGGATTAATTAATTATGGGAGAAAGTATGGTCCTGTCAATATTTCTAGGAAAATTGATACTAAGGAACTGAGGCAAACAGAGGTAAAAATCCCTCCTTACCCAAGTAATGAGAACTGCCTGACACCTCCTACTTCCCCAGGAGGTAGAAATATTCTAAACAAAAAACAAAGGTTACAGGTATTGGGGTGGCAAAAGGGTATTCCTAAAGATTTAATAGATGGATTACCCACTGAAAAATTGGAAAAGTTGGTATTAGAGTGGCCCAAAATAAACCTGTGGGCCCTAAGGAAAATGAAAGACCCCCACAAAATGTGGAAGGCCCTAGTGCCCCACCACTTACAGATTTATCAGAAACTACACCGTATCCTCTCACCCATGGGGTGGAAAACTAACTCCTCCACCCGTTGATTGTGAGCAAAGAGGTGGTGAGTAGATGCATATTCAACACCTCACTGAAAATACTGAAGGTGATCTATTAATTACTTGATTTGTGGGACCTAATTTAGTATCTATCACCTTTTTAGTGGACACAGGCGCCCAAATTTCAGAAATCAAAACCAAGGATGCTGCCAAGAATGGCATTAATCTATCATCTCATAAGCGACTATTTCTTGCAGATGCTTTTGGAAATACCCAGGCCCAGACACTAGTATAGTCAAATTGTGTCTGCCTGGAGACAACTCTAGCAACTATGGTTGTGAGATCATTTCTGTTCAATCTACTAGGATTAGATGTGTTAAAAGGGAAGGAATGGAAAGATAGCAGTAGAAAGAGTTGAGCATTTGGCACAGCACCAGTGAACATACGTTTCCTGCAAACTGCTGCCTTGCTTCCCCCATCAAAATTAACCAGTGTCAAACCTTATCCATTAGCCTAAGGACCTGGGAAGGGAAAATTGATAATCCCAGTACTGGAGGAATTAGAGGAACAGGGAATTGTAGTGCCAGCACAATGTCCTTTTAACTCCCCAGTATGACCCATTCATAAACCAAACGGGAAGTGAAGACTAACTGCAGACTATAGAAGGTTGAATGCTAGTTCAGGCCCATTACCAGCTGCTGTGACAAACATTGCTGAACCCATAGCATCTATCCAGGGACAGGCTCATCCCATAATGGCAACTATTGATGTTAAAGGTGTGTTTTTTATGGTCCCCTTACAACCTGAGGACCAAGAACACTTTGCTTTTACCTAGGAAGGGCAGCAGTTCACCTTCACCTGACTTCCTCAGGATATAAGCATTCCCCTACTCTAGCTCACCATGCTTTAGCACAAGAATTGGAATCAATTCCTTCAGAGGAAGGGCTTAAAATTTACCAATACATTGATGATGTCATTATAGGAAGAAGTCAGGCAGATATGGTTCAAGCAATGCAGGATAAAATTATATCACACCTGGAAAATTTGGGGTTAAAAATCCCACTTGAAAAAATTCAGGTATGGGCTAATGAGGTAAAATTTGTGGGAATCTGGTGAAAGGGAAGAATGACCTGTATTCCTCAAGATACCCTTTCTACATTATACCAGATAAAAATACCTGAAACAAACAGAGAGTTACAAAATGCACTGGAACTGCTTGTGTTTTGAAGAACACATATTCCTGATTTTTCTATCATTGCAAGGCCTTTGTATGACCTGTTATGAGAAAGAGTATTACAGGACTAGACCCCACTCCATGAAGAAGCTCTGCAGCTTTCAGTATTCAAAGCTGCTTATCACCAAGCCCTTGGTGCAATTCACCCTAGTGACCCAGTTCAGATTGAATAGGGACTTGCCCAGTTGGGCTTATCGATACTCTTCTGGCAGAAGGGCCCTGAAGGACCCACCCGACCTATTGGATTCTACTTTTGAAGTTTTAAAGATGCCAAAACCCAATATTTTATTTGGGAAAAAGGCTTATTTGTGATTAGTTTGGCCTTGTGAGAGGCAGAACGTGCAATTTGTAAACAACCTATAATATTCAGAGGTCCTTTCAAAGTAATTAAGCCTGTGCTAGCTGGGACCCCACCACCTGATGGGGTGGCGCAGAGAGCCTCAGTAAGAAAATGGTATGCACAGAAAGAACATTATTGTATAATCTTTGAGATTACTGAAGGCCCCATAAAAAAACTTAACAATGCAAGAGGAAGTTATCCCAAAACTTGACAGCCACACAATTTCCCCTGTGGTGAAATTTTCCACATTTTCCCACATTTTCGAAGCAATTGCAGAATGTCACGTTTACCGATGCATCAGCAAAACAGGACGGTAAAACATGAAAATATTGAGCTGTTGCTTTGCAAATAAAAACCGAACAGGAAATTATCACTGAGGGAGAAGGTAGTGCTCAGGTGGAAGAACTGTTCACACTCTGGGGCATCCTCCAACATGAGGCACCGTCTGCTTCTCCTGTCTGTATCTATACCGATTCTTTTGCCGTCTTTAAAGGCTGCACTGAATGGCTCCCGTTTTGCGAACAGTATGTCTGGGAGGTTAATCGGGTGCCTGTATAACAAAAAGAAAAATGGCAGGAGATACTAACCATAGCAAAACAGGGAGATTTTGCAATAGGATGGGTGGCTTCCCATCAAACAGATGAAACCCAGCCAGCCGATGGGATGGTAGAGCAGATGAACTAGTGCCACCTTAAGGGTCAACTCTGAATCAGAAGATTGGGCAAAATTGTTAGAATGGCTGCATTTAAAGAGGAAACATACTGGGGCTAAAGATCTGTACCAAGAAGCCCAAGCCTGAGGTTGGCCAGTTACTTGGGAGAATTATCTTACCTGCATTTCTGCATGTGAACAATGTTGAAGCAGACTTGAATGATATCCTTTGAAAGAAGAACCCCTTCATCTCAGGCAAGGGAAGGGGCTATGGGAAGCCTGGCAATAGAATACAGAGGTCCTTTTCACAAATCAGAAAGGAAGTGTTTGGTAGGAGTGGAAATACTATCAGGTCTGGTGCAAGCTGAAGCATTTGCTCCAGCTACAGGAGATAACATGATACAGGCCTTGAGATGGTGGTTTGGGACAATCCCCAAAACCCAAACTGTCCAATCAGACATTCTACTGCCAAAGTCGTTCAGGACTGGGCAGGGGAAGAAGGTATCGAGTGAGTTTTTCATACCTCTTATTATCCTCAGGCAAATGGGGTTGTATTAAAAACAAATGGCCTTCTCAAGATATTCCTTAAATCCCATGAGTCCGGATTGGCTGGGAGACTGTGGGACACTGTTACTCAAGTGAAAAATCAGTGGGCAATAAACAGATACCCCAAAATTACCTCTTTTTGCCCTAATCCTCCAACCATGATCCCCTGTCTAGAAGCCCCAGAGACTACCTCTTACTATCTGGGAAAACCAGTGTTTGTAGAACATTTCATAGAAATGCCCAGAGTGGGGACAGTACTACTGGCCCTGAGAGGACCCATAAATAGATATGGGTGGACAGCCAAAGATGCTCATGGGAAAGAACATAAAATTAATACACAATGGATTGACCCATCGTTTTAATGATAATAACCTCTCTTCCGGTTCCTGCAACGAACCAAGGATGTCCTTTTCCTACAGATAAGACTTCATGGGACTTGCCAAAGATCTCCTCTGGAGACAACCACATGATAGCCCTTATGTATAACTGTTGTTTTCTTAGCTTTGATGGCCTTTATGGGATGTGTAATGTATTCTAACAGATGTTGTTTTGGATATTAGTGTTCTTCTCTCTTAGAGCATCAGGAGACCCTCGGCCTGCCTTCCCAAGTTATAATAGGGAAAATGACTTTATAGTTTTAGGTAATAAAATAGCTCGTGTTTAATCTTAGCAATAGTTGGGTCTGTGGAAGTCCAGCAGGAACTGAGAATTGGCCATGGGTGGCTCATCCAGTCCAACCTAAATAGTGGGTAAGCAATTTAAGTATAGTTCTTAACGGTACTGAATTTTGGGCTGAGGAAGGGAATCCGTGGTGATGCCAATTCTCTGCAAAGGGGACCTATTGCCACCATATTTGAAACTGGCCATCATATTTGAAACCTCATGGCAGTCAGGTGAAGTTCCCAATGACTGGAAATATAACCCCCATTTTCAAGAAGTGGAAAATGGATGACCCAGGGAACTACAGACCAGTCAGTCTCACCTCTGTGCCTAGCAAAATCTTGGAGCAGATTCTCCTGGAAGGCATGCTAAGGCACATGAAAAACAACAAGGTGGTTGGTGACAGCCAACATGGCTTCGCTAAGGGGAAATCCTGCCTGACCAATTTTGTGGCCTTCTGTGATGGGGTTACGGAACGAGTGGACAGTGGTAGAGCAGTTGACGTCATCTACCTGGGTGTCATAATACAGGGTACTTCTAGATCCAATAGGGCCTCCCACTATCATATATTTGGGGGTCCGCTTATAAAAGTATTCTCATGCTCCTGCAGATGGTTGCCAAGTACAATTATGTGCCAAGTAACGGCCTGTTTGTTTGGTGCCAGACCAGAATTTTTGAAAATACATTCTGATCCTGTTTGAATTTTGCCATGTCCATCAGAAAACCTGAGGTATATGTTTCTTCTCAGTGTTGTTGGTCTGTTGGCAAGCAAAAATGACACTGAGCCATTGACGACAACTCTTTGCGTGCAGCCATCCAGCTAGTTCTTTATCCACCGAGTGGTCCATCTATGAAATTAATGTCTCTCCTTTTTAAAGACAAGGATATTATGTGGGACAGTGTTGAATGCTTTGCACAAGTCCAGGTAGATCACGTCAACTGCTCTATCCCTGTCCATCAGTTCCGTAACCCCATCATAGAAGGCCACCAAATTGGTCAGGCAGGATTTCTCCTTAGTGAAGCTGTGCTGGCTGTCACTAACCACCTTGTTGTTTTTCATGTGCCTTAGCATGCCTTCCAGGAGAATCTGCTCCAAGATTTTGCCAGGCACAGAGGTGAGACTGACTGGTCTGTAGTTCCCTGGGTCATCCATTTTCCCCTTCTTGAAAATGGGGGTTATATTGCCCTTTTTCCAGTGGGCAGTAACTTCATCTGACTGAATATATAATGATTATAGATTTACGTAGGCTCTGGGGAAATAATGCACTAAAAACTGCAAAACATTCAAGGGCAAGACAGAGGGAAGGCCTTTTAATTTGTCATTCCATGACTTAAGAAACTATGAAGAATAGTTCTTATAAAACTTTACATGTTATTTTCATTTTTGAGCATTTCTCTACTTCTTCACAGAAAAATACAAATAAAGTGCTGGAGAGTTTTGAAAGCATTTTCTGCACTGGTAACACTATTGGCCAGAACTGCTTACTAAAAATTTCTTAGGATTCTATTTCACACACAGAAAAAAAAAAAAAGACACAAATAGAGTGTGTGTTTTTTCACTTTAAATGTTAAACTAAATAAATTAGAACAAATAAGTTCAAGCCCTAAGAACTGATT